CAAACTGTGATCAGAAGCACCTAAGGTTGAATGTGAAAAAACTAAGCATTAACTAGGATCAGAAACAAGACATGTGTTGAAAAGAGAAGGTAAATGATTTAGATGGTCTGTAAAGCAAAATGGAAAGTTGACTATTTGTGTTAGAGGTTAATAAAAAAAAAACTTGTGAGCTTTTTTGCCTACAGAGTCACTGACTCTAGAGCTAAGCCATTTATTTTGATGAGATTACAGTCAATAAAATCAACTTTATTGGCTAAAAAAAAAGAGAAAGAGTCTTGGTCAATTAGATCAGTTATTACATCAAAAAATGTGCAGTCTTGAGTTGAAGGAGAGATACATGAAACAAAAAGAAAGACAATAGAGTGAAGTTTTACTTAACAAAATCACATAAAAAAATATTCTGTGGAATAAAACCTAGATTCCCGACAAATAGATGAATTCTGACAAATGTAGATGCCCAGCCCAAGCATGCGACTATTTGTTTTTACAAATTAAAGGAAGATAAGCAATTACAAGATGAGACAGCCAACCTCAAGTTACTCTCACAAGAGCAAATAGTCTTGTGAACTTTGCAAGAGATAAGGCTCAACAGAAGAAAAGTTACTTTGAAGACCACAAACACTAGTAAATGAGAGATTTAGTGAACTATGGCATGACGATTGCATTTGTGTTTTATAGTTTTTGGTACTTTAGTCATTTTTGGGATTTGTTAAAGAACGCAGCTCAAGGCACAGATAGTACTCAAACACTATTTAAAAGTCAAAGCAATTCCTTTATTACTATTAATAAACTTTAAGCCGTGACAAAGACATCCAAATGTAGCCTCATTAATTCACACCAAAAGAACAAACAGGAAAACATCCATGACCATAAATAAACCCTAACCCTGACACGGTACTGTTAGTTCTCTGAAATTATACAGCTATTAATGGAGTTAACCTTTTGAGAGCAACCACAGAGTTCGTAAAATCAGTTAAAATAAATAGGTTATTTTACACACATTATTTGTCTTTACTCAACCAATAGCCTCATTGCAGGGGCTGTTGTAAGTCAGAGGTAGCTTTTCCTAGTCTTTGCCTGCTAAAGCGAATCTTAAAAGGCAGCATAACATGTAACAGTTTGTAGTGGGTTGCATGATGTCAGTAGCAGGATAAGCTGATGAAACGTTAAATATGACGTTATATGCAAGTATAAATCCAAATTACAAACTTGCCGAGTCTCAATATAAAACGCTGATTTTCAATGCTTGCTCCCAATGGTCTTATTGTGTTAAACAAAAAAGCAATACTTATAAAACGTAAACAATATCTTAACCTCTGAGGCTGTTGAATTTAGACCTAACCAAAAAATACCAATAGTTGAAAACTTTTTTAGTTAATGGCTTCAAACATTAGATTAAGTTTTGCAACAATAGCTTACAGTTAAGATTTACAAACAGCGTTTTGCGCTTAAAAATATAATATCCCAAAAAGTCATCAAACTGTTGTGATTTATTTATGAAATAATTTGGTTCATTTAAAAAACAGGTAATTAGTTCAATAAAATAGATAATTCAAAGTAATGACAAGTTTAGCTTTATATTTAACGAATACACCTCAGTTTAAAACCGTGTATACATGACTTATATGTTTGTTATAACAAAGAATTTATATCTGTAGAATGTTTTAGATGCATGACGTAATGCCAGCAGCAGAAGCCGTTTAATTAATTACTAAGCAACTTAATTCGTATTGTTTAGTTTTAGGCTATTGTTTGAGATATTGTTGCTTCTGATACCAATTAAAATAGTTTGATGAAACAAATGGTACATTTATGCAATTCGTATATACGTAAATAATGTTCTTTAATAAAAAAGTCATGCTGCATAACCAAACATCAATGTTGTTAATTAACCTTTTGATTCCGATGATACTTATGATGACTCAATATGATTATAAAAGTTAAAATAAAGATGGATATTTAATTTAATATTTAAATTTAAAATAATATTTAAATTTAAAATAAAAGTTTTGTACAAAAATATTTGAATAAATTTCAAGCATCTGCGGCTATAATTAAAAAAAAATGAAGTTTTTTGTAGACCATCTGGAAGCAACATTGATCATATTCAGCCAAACGCTGGAAACACATTTGGAAACACAAAAAGCTTTGATTTTTGATTCAAAAATCTGGTGAAGCTGTACAAGTATCATTTTAGAACATTTTTAGCTAAAAGAAAAATAAAAAAAAAAAAAAAAAATTTTTTTTTTAAAAAATAATAACATTATAAATATAGTCTTTGTATGTCTTTTTCTATCTGTTTCTTGTCTTTTAAAGTTTTTTTTATAAAAAGATTATAGTAATTTTAAATATTTTTAAAATTAATATAATCTTTTATTAACATTCTTAATCAAAAATATTTTGTTTCAAAATATAAGTCTTAAAAATGCAAAATTTCATTCGAGAAATAGGAGATATTTTTCTTGTCTTGGCTATAAAGACAAAAATTATCTATCATTGGGAAAAATAGTTCATCATTTCTATAGTAAAAAAAAAAATTGGACCATGAATTTAGTATATATATGTATGTATATATATATATAAATATATATATATTTATATATATATATATATATATATATATATATATATATATATATATATATATATATATATATATATATATATATATATATATTCTTATCCAACATGACTTGGTAGGAGCTGCAAGACAATCGCACTTTATACAAAATCGTTAAGCATTCAAAAAAGTGATTTGTATAAATGGTTGCTTTTAAAAGAAAATAATAAAACAATAAAAAAAAAAAAATAGTGAAACAAGAAGATGCATCAGTTTTCATGATATATAATGCCTACATGATAATAATAGTATCTTTAAACGACTTTTTAGCTTCAACTTTATCGACTTCTAACAACTTCTCTGATGTATTTTGAAGATAAATGAAAACAAAAAACATTGCTATTTGAATAGTTTTTTGATATTTAAAAACAAAATTTAGATTAATTATTTTGCTAATGTATTTAAGCCAGTAAATGAAGGGTGTTTTTTATATAAAAGAAATTATTAAGTTCTGCTGTATATAATTTTGTATCAACTGTGTATAGAAATTTCTTAAAATTTCATGAAGTTGTTATATAATCATGTTGTTATATATTCTATAATTATATAATGTTGTTATATAAGTTGTTATATATTCATGAAGTTGTTATATACGATATTAGTTTTATAACAACGGCACAAAAGTATACTTTAATTAACAATTTAATTATGCAAGCATAATTTAAAAAGTGGTAATCATCATATATTGTATACTTTTCCAAATTATTCAATTGATATTAATCCTAACCTCTGGCCTTAACTCATCAACATTGTGCATGGGTTATTATATATTACGATGGAAATCACTCTAATTATTGTTGATAAACTAACTGCAAAAAGGAATTTTACTTACAACAATATTTCACAGATTGCTTATATTTCACAGAGTATGTCTCAATTCAATAAACAATAGATCAAGTCTGGTGTAACATCAAAAAAATGTTGTTAAGCATTAAAAAAAATAATAAAGCACTTACATAGTGTTTCTGTGAAATTTTACTGTAATGGTAAAAAATTAAAAGGCATGATTGTTGAGCGTAGTTAGACGTAGTTAATATAAGGTGGCATTCCTGGATATAATAATATAAATAGAGATCAATATCGCTTTTGTAACATACTATAAATTCTATTTAAAAGCAGTTTGTAGCATTTTCTTCGTGTAAGTTTTTAAATTGAGATATAGATATAAGTTTTCAATTGTAGTTATATTATGACAAATGTTTGTGTTTCAGTGGAGATGCATTCTAAATAGATATGCTTTTTAAACATTTTTTTTGTTAAGTATAGAAAAAGTTCCAACCTTTTTTGTTCTTCTTTAAAATGATTATGTTGTGTAAAAGATAATGGAGAGCGGGGTCAAGATTGAAGTTATGATAAACGTTTTTTTTAAATATTCTTATAGTTTGAATAAACTTTCTCTTGATTTTCAGATGTTTTTTCAGAAGTTTTTTTTTGTTTTAGCCTCTGTGGTTTCGTACTGCTCAGTCTAATTCAAGGGTTAGGGTTAGGGTTAGGGGTTTGGGTCAGGGTTAGGGATTAGGGTTAGGGTTACACAAGCTCTATTTTTATAAACACAAACTTTATATTATAAAACTTAAGTTAACATTTAAATTTTCTGCAAAAAAATCATTTTTTAAGTTTTTTAGTGAGGTCAAAATAAAATCAGCAAATATTTGAAACTTTGTTCTATAATATTTTTATGACTTATTTACAGAAATTGCTTTAGAAAAGATTTTTGAATGAAATTATCAATTGCAAATTATATAATTGATCAGTTTCTTTAGGAGTTAAATTCATAAAAGCATGCAGTATATTTGTAAACAAAACTCGTTTTCATTATATTTTATTGATTAGCGACTACGGCACAATGGTTAAAGTGTTTAATTTGAAAGCAAGGGACTTAGTGTTTAAAGCAAATTCTGAGATCAATTTTTGCAATCGGAAGAAGCTGTGAACTTTCTAGTTAAATGCTCATTAGAGGTTTCTGTGACAACGTAGGACTTCTGTGACAACACCCGTAGGACTTCTGCGAAAACACCTGTAGGACTTCCCGGGTCATCTGAAATAGAAATAAAAATGTAAAAAATAAATCAATATATGAAGATAATCAAATACTTCAAACTTTGTTTAAACAACTTTTTATTTTACCTAGTTGAAATTTTATCAAATTTTCTATTTAGATTTTTTTAATTTTCTGAAAATAATTAATTTTATGTAACATTTTTTTCAACTCTAGTTTTGTATATCTTGTTAATATGAATATATGTTTGTAATTTATATAATCTCGTAATTTTGATTATTTATTATTATTTTATTTTTTTTCGTTTTTGTACATATAATATTAACTATTATTATTTTTTACTTTTTTTTTACATATAATTACAACTTAGTTCTTCTTTAGAATATCAACTTCATCAATATGATCAAAACTTATTTATTGAATGTTTTTATGAAAGCCAATCATCAATTACTGATATATTAAAATTTATCGATGAACAAAAGTGGAGATTTTCGATTGACGATGGAAAAACTTCTTACAAAACTTCTTGCGATATTTATTTCATAAATCATTTAATTAAATCTGGAAGAAAGTTATTGTCGTTACATGTTTATAAAAGTATTTTAAATGAAGAAGAAAAAAATCTTTTAATTCAATGTTCAACTAATGTTAGCATTGTCAGCTTTCGTTGTCCAGTTAATTTAGAAGGATTAAAACCGAAAGCTGCGATTGAAAAGTTGGAAATATGGGTTTCAAATCACTTAATAACAAAGAAGAACTTTGAAGAAAACTTTCTTCCGTGGATAAATCTTTGTGAAACTTTAAATCTTGAACTTTCAAGTATTAGTTTTATGGAAGATCTTTATAATTGGATTCAATTGGCAAACATTAAGAAATTGTGGATCAATTACCGAAGCACAGATGATTGTGTAGTATACTTTGACAGCCTTGATGAGTTAAGAATATTTGTAACAAAATAAAAAAAATGATGTGTAAAAAAGAAAAGCAATAGAAATTAAACAATAAATAAAAATATATATTATTTTATGATTAAATTTGTTTTAAAATATACGATATAATATTAATATTATACAAACATATTCGTTTTCAAAAATAAATTATCGTCAATATCTTTACCTAATCTGTTCAGGCAAAATTTATCACTAGAACGCAACTATCGAACTTTTAGTTGTTTTGCCTAAAGTTTTAGACGTAAATAATAGCCTGAGTTGTTAATGTTTTGAAGTTTTGAAAGAAAAATTGCATGAACTGCTCAGGCTATTATTTATGTCTAAAACTTAAGGCAAAACAACTGAAAGTTTGGACTCTATTTTGTTTCATTGTATTGGATCAAAAATGTTCATGCTATAAAGCTTTAGTCTGTCAGTTATAAAGATCTAGTTCGTCAGTAGAAAAGGTGAATTTAATACTATTATATACTTTTTGTTAAGGATGCCAATTTGTTGTTACCTTTGCCCCAAATATTTTTTAACTGTTGCTATTTACATAAATTATTTGAGAAAGGTTTACCTTTTATTTAAAATGTCAACTTTGTTGTAATGTCTGTGGTTGAATACGATTGTTTATTAAATAGAATATGATTAATAAATTAATAAAGATCATTCCTGTGTTGTATTTATTATTGATCGAACATTTAATAACAGTTGTGAAAATCCAGTAACACCTAAACCTGGAGCTTAAAATGAAATTAAAATAGACATAGGATGTGAGATAAAAATTGAAGATGTTGCCTCATTTATTGCTGATGAGTATAACGTAACGCATGCAGCATTAAAATTCATTATTGCTTTAATATCTTTGAGTTCTGTTTTTTTAAGTACTTTAGAGTTTTTCAAGAATTGTTAACAAAACCTAATTAAAGACATACTTAGTTATTTACTTGGAAAAAAAATTATGGTATTGGAAACATGTAGGTATAAGAAGCATGTTAAAAATTACTTTTTAACATGCTTCTTACCCCTACATGGAATTGATTCATGTTGAACCAGTACCACATTCCATGGGTAAAACGATGGAATAAAAAACGTGATAGAATGACTAAAAAGCAAAAACAATTCAAAGTGAAAGGTTTGTTTTATTGCATACCTATTGAAAACACAGAAATCTTTAGCAAAGCAAGCAATAAAAGTAATTGTAAGTAAATTGCAATTACTTCACGACAAAGGATTTGATATTTTTAATAAAGCCAAAAAAAAATAATAATAAGTATTTACTAATTCAACTTGTTGGGGACAATTTAGGTGTGCACTCTATATTAGAATATAAAGAAAACTTTAGTACTGTTTCATTTCCATGTGATATGTGTATAATTACAAAAGTTGACCTGCAGCGTGTTTTTAGAGAAGACAAACAAACTCTGAGAGCAGATAATTTATATTATTCTTAAATTGAGCAAATGCAATGAGAAGAAATTTCTGATAAGAAATGAGGAACTAAACGGTTTAGTTATTTAACTGAATTGCCATATTACCATCTTGCTTTGAATGTTCTGCAGACATAATGCACATTATTTTTGAAGAAAAGAATCCGTGTAAAGTTAAATTGTTTCTTAATCATGTTTTATATGATGTCAAATGCATGTTCATTACAGAACTAAATAGACGCATTAAGTTTATGGATTATTATATTGTCTGCAGCTCAAAACCTAGTACTACTAATGAGCGTAGAACAAGTAAAATGCTAAAAATGTCAAATCTTCTAAAGATTTTATTTTATTTTTATAGGTCCTTCATATGTTAAACTTTCTTACAAGTTTTTCTTGTTCTTGTTCTTATTGTAACAGAAAAAGAAAAATTTCATAATTTTAGTCTGCTATTGAAAAACAAAAAAAAAAATAGTTGCATATCAAATAGACAAAGAAAGTAAAAAATCATTTAAAAAGCTTCAGGAATGAGTAGATTTTCTAGATTCATCAAAATTCTGTAATACTCTATCTGATAAAAATATTTAAAGTCCAATATATCTTGATGAAAATATATCTTGATGATTATATATTTTGATGAAAATATATCTTGATTAAAAAACTTGCTCATCTGAGTTTATTAAGATGAGAATTAAGGATATAAAATTTAGCTAACATTTTGCATCTCAATTTGGCATGATCTTTTCATACTTGACTAATGTCATGTATGAAAAGTACTAACTCTTCAATATGGTCAACGCTCTGCGTAGATGCTTACACTATTTATATATTTGCCACTTATAATTAAATTAAAATTCTTTACAAAAAAAAATAAATTGAGGAAAGAATTCCTTGATAAAAGAATTTTATCCTGAGAAAAAACGTCTTTCTAAGCATCACAGAATATTTCATCAAAGAAATATTACAAAAGGAAGTTGTCCTCTCCTTCACATGTTATAAGGTTGTTATGAAGCCAAGCATAATTTTTTTAAATGATTAGTTCATTAAATACAAGAACAATTTAGAAAATTTATTTTTCATTCATTTTAGAATCTATTTTACATTTAGAATTATTTTAGAATTTATTTTTTTTTAGTTTTAGAAAAATTATTTTAGATTTAGAGAGAATTTATTTTTCATTTATTTTAGAATCATTTTAGAACATTTATTTTTCATTCAGTTTAGAATCATTTTAGAACATTTATTTTTCATTTATTTTAGAATCATTTTAGAACATTTATTTTTCATTCATTTTAGAATCATTTTAGAACATTTATTTTTCATTTATTTTAGAACATTTATTTTTAAATTGCAAAGAGATATCAAATTGTTCATATCTTAGCTTTTATTGACTCATAGTCCCCAAATATTTATTGTTGATGTAAAAATGGAGCAGAGATTTTAGTTTCAGAATTAGAGAGCTAAATCATATTAATTCTTTCGTTGGTGAAGAAATTGAAGCTTAAGCTTTTTATTGTGTAACTGTATTGATTTAGAAATACAAATCATGTGACACAATTCTTTAAAATAAATTAAACTTTATGATTTTAATAGTGATGATGAACTTAGTTTTGCTCAAATTGAACATATTTTTGTTCCTTGTGAAGTTTTATATTTTTTCGCAACAAAGTAAATTTTCCACGAATATTACAATCTATTTTTATTCGATTACAAACTATCTGTATTCGATTACAAACATCTTAAGGCATGCAGAATTAAAAAAAAATGGCTGCATTTAAACTTTTTAAAAAAAAATTTAATTATTTTTTTTATATATATGGATGGTGTTAAGGCCAAGTGTACTAACCTCAAGTTTCAAAATTGTCCAAGAGACAGTTTTTTTAATTAATTATAAACTATATTTAATAAAAAAATATATAAAATAAACACTTTTTAACAAAAATCTATGTTGTTAATGGGTTGTCCACTTGGTTATAAATAAAACATAGTCTTGATTATGCAGAAACACAATAATTAGAAAAACCGAAAATTAAAGAGTTAGTCCACTTGGCCTTTACACCAATCATATATTATTCAATATTTCGCTGATCTATTGGGATGAGGGTCAACAGGTATAATAAACAAAAATAGTTTCAAAAAAAATCGTTGTGATAAAAACAAACCGTTAACAAGATAACTTTAAAAAGAAAATTTAAAATTTTAAAAGACATCTAAAAAGAGTTTAATATATATATAATAAAAACTAATTAAAATAATGAATATTGTTAATAGAATATTAAAAATAGATAAAATTAATCAAATAATAAAAATAAGGATATAACTAAAATTAAATAAAAACTTCTATTATGGATATAACTCTTTTATTTTTTGAACTAATTTTTTTTACAATATTTTTTCTGAGTTCACTGTTGCAATTAATTATATTTCACTCAATCAGACAAGTTCCATAACAACTTTCATTTTCTTTCTGATTCAACATATTCACGTAAATTGTGTGATGAACGAAACAATAAACTGAAGCCAGAGTTGTTAACAAGGCCAAATATACCAAGGTTAAGGCGAGACCCGGGCCACATGCTCCAATGCCAAAACCACGGCCAAGGCTACATTTTCTAAGGCCAAGGCCAAGGTCAAGGCCAAATGTTCCAAGGTCAAGGCCACATGCTCCAAGGACAAGGCCACATGATCCAAGTCTAAGGCCACAAGTTCCAAGGCCAAGGTCAAGGTCAAAGACAAGAATTTCAAAGCCAAGGACAAGGTAAAAGACACATCCAAACAACAAATTCAAATGTTTCAAAATTAAATCAAAGTTATGCGTATATGTTGTCAATAAGAAAATATTTAAGAAAATAGATATATAGTAAAGCCAAAAACAAAAATACGTAAAACTTTAAAAAAAATAAGAAGTTAATATTATTTTTTTAGCATTAAATATAAGTTGTGAAATGAACTATTATAGTCTACAAGTTTTTATAGCTTTTAAGAAACATTAATGTTTCATGCAAAGAGTCTGACATACAAGCTCTATGAGGGCGCATTACTAATCCACTGTGGGAATCTTTTTAAACACATAGAAGAAGAATTATTTAAATCGTTACTCTAGATATGACAACTATAAAGATCAAAATTTTTCAAGTACATTAAGGTATACTTGGTATCTTAAATTATTCTTCTGATCAAGTTAAAACTGCTCTTGATTTAAAATAATCTTACTTTTGTAATAATAGCATATTTAAAAATTAACTCTAGAACAATTTAAAGTTATAATGTTTCACAACACTTAATAATAACACTTATATTCTTTATATACTTCTTTATATAGAACTTTCATACTTTTTAAATAAAAACCTTTTTTGAATTAATATTTTATTTTGAATAAAAATTTTAAAATCGTTCGAATTTTAAATTTCAAAAAAAAAAAAAATTTCATACATTCTATTGTTTTTAAAATATCACAAGAAGTTTTTATTGATTTTTTCAAACTAACTAACGGTAAGTAACCAAATAATATTATATAACGTTAAGCGTTAATGAATTACCGCATGTAATTACTTTTAAACAATTCTATTGTTCTCAATTCAAAAAATGAACTCTCTAAAGTAAACATAAAGTTAGAAAAAAAGCAAGGCCAAAAAATTTCAAGCCCTAGGCCAAGGCCAAAAGTTTT